TCTAATGCCCACCTATCTTTCACAGTTCATATCATTGAATTCATTCCTGTTTTGATGCTATTATTGGTTCTTATACTTTTATTGTTTTTTTATGTTTTACATGATTTCGCAATTCTACGATTCTTTATGATCCTATGATCTTGCCTGCCAGAATTATAATATAATAAACACTGTTGTAGAAAAATCCTGATGACTCTACGATTTGTTAAAATTATCACTTTGAAAATATGATTTTATATAATCCACTTTTGAATTAATTATATTTATGAGAATTGCATTTTTCCATATCTGTAGTATCTACGGCTTCGACAAATGTGGAAATACTGATAATAATAAACCTTCATTCGAATATACATTAATCTATAAATATCTCAAATACTTAAATTCATTCTTAAAGATGATTCCCAAAAATTTTATTCAAATCATCATTACGTGTCCTTTATATGAAGCCATCAACCCGCAACGGTTTATTGTGGCTCACACCTATTCACACTCGGCCAAATGAACCCAGCTTCTCAACGAATTCGATTAGTTTGTATGGTGAGTGGTCTTTCAGGTCAGATGGTTAGAGTACAACTCTGACGAACTCTAAAAACCTGATTCGGTCCCCAGCGGAGCAGGCACAAAGCATATGCTCCGTTAATGAGGTAGCCGGATAGTCAAGTTGTAAGATTCCCACCTTGATACCCACGACAACCTTTCCATATGAGGGTTTTTGCACGTCAGCTACACCTGACGATGCCTCAGAATCAGCCGAGCAGGGCTTTTTCGTCTCTGGTTTTGGTGAATTATCACTTGAGCGCAAATGTTTGCTAACCTGCTCATGTGGTTTTTGTTTTCCCAGCTGAGACAGATTCTGTGTACGCCGCTCAATAATTTGGTGCGAAGCGGTTATATAAGATACCACGCTCTTGAGGAGGTGACTTAGCCGTTTCCTGGCTGCACCACTGAACATTTTTTTAAAGTTCAGTTGTTAGATTAGGAGTTGGGGAGTTGAGAAGCTCTCGCTCCTGAACTAAATTTACAGAAAGGTCAGTTGGAGTCATAAACTGGACATCCATCTCCTCTGTAGACTCGCTCCTGAACTAAATTTATAGGAAGGTCAGTTGGAGTCGTAAGCTGGACATCCATCTTCTCTGTAGACTCGCTCCTCAACTAAGTTTACATGAGTTTTGATATCACTGATAGTAAACCGATTTTTTTTCACCTCCATATTTCTCACCTCTTCAGCTTATTTCTATATGATGTAGTTGAGCCATTTTCGGACAATTCCTCTCTGCGAATTAAAATTGGAGCAAAGCGCTGCCGAAACAAACCAACAAGTCAACCAGGCATTTGGCAATTATAGTGTTAATGAAAGCACTCTCCGACGTTGGTTTGCAAAATTCCGTTCCAGAGATAATAGGTTCAAAGAGAAGCCCCGATGTGTTTGACATACAGCAATCCAGGACGAAGATTTGAGGATCCTGGTAGAGACTGACCCATCACAAACGGTGCGTGGGATGGCAGAAGAACTCATGCGGTTTTTGATGGTTTGAAATGTATTGGAAAGGTCAAAAAGCTCGACAAGTGGGTTCCACCCGATTTGAACAATCTACAGAAATTGTTACGTTTCGAAATGTGTTCTTCTTTGTTTTTGTATAAGCAAAACGATCCTTTTTTGGATTGGATCGTGTGATGAAGAAAGTGGATCATCTACGACAATAAGAGACGTTTAGGACAGTGGTTGGATTTTGATTAGCTAGCCAGATACTTTCCAAAGGCGAGAATCCACGAAAAAAAGGTCATGATTACTGTATGGTGGTCAGCGGCTGGTGTCATACTCTATAACTTTCTGCAACAGGGCCAAACCATCATAGCAGCATCCTATTATGAAAGAATTGATGAAATTTACCGACAGTTCCGTCAGTAGCAGTCGCAACTGGTCAACACTGCTTTCATATAACAGGTAATTATAGGTAATAACTTACCTCGGTAGGTTTTTTTTCGGCGAGTGGAAAAATCTTCTTCACAGGTCGCCCTGTGACTAGATAGTGTCGAATTTCTACCGAATAAAGAACCTTTCATGAGTCAAGCAGGCTACTGTGGAACCACCCTCGTGCATTACTTCGGAATAGCAGACTATAGTGATGGTTCAGGGTTCTTCCTTTTTCTTCAGTACTTCATCATTATTCATTCATCAGGATGGTCTTGGAGAGTTTATCAACAGTTCCCCTATCATGATTTCCGGTGATAATTCTCCTGTCGTCAATTCTGTTCTTCCCAATGTATGCATTCATTGTTTTGTACCATTGTTCCCTCGTCCACCAGTAGATCTATTAGGGGAGTTCTTGCAATCATCAACAGAGCTCTGGTTGATGCTGTTTCATATCCACATACTATTTTTATGGCTGCTTTTTTTTTGACATTTGGTAATATATTTCTATATATCTTTTTCCCATGGCTCTTTTCCAGATTGGTGTACCATAAAGCATGATCGACTTGGGACTGAGCAGAGAATCCTTCTACTTTCTCGAGGGCCCCCAACGTTGGGGGCATCCTGCTAATGTTGCTTATGTCTTACCCCGTGTTTTCTGCTATTTCTCTAACATGAGCTCCCATTTTCATCTCCATGTGGACACCCACAGGATTCTTGGCTGCAGACATTTGTTTCCTCTGATTCAATTGTGATACTTTTCAGTTTCCTACCTGCTGCCAGCAGTCATCCCTCTGATTTCTGAGGGGCAGGATTGAGTTGCTTCGCTGTCATTCACTCGGCTATCTCCTTCACAGTTCTATTGGAAATTCTTACCAGACTTTCTTATTTTTTTTCCACCACCACTTTGGCTAGGTCATCTTAGTAGCCTATCAGGTTAATTAACGGTAGGTAGGTAGGCGGTTAATTAACCTGATAGGATAGTTTTCTGATTAGGAACAGTGTTCCAAACTTTTGAGAAGCAGCCTTTGCATTTTCAGCGCCATGATTGTGCCAAGGCCTATTGGTATTCATTTTAGCCCCCAACAAACTCATCGAAGCAAAAAGCGGAATTGTCTGTCCTGTCATTATTATATCCAGTTCGGAGACATTTTTCTTTTAGGAGAAAACCGATGCCTGGGTTTCTGTGGTATTGAATTGAACCTGATTCCTCTCCTGCTGCCGGTGAAGATGTGCCTCCGTAGCCAATGTCCTGGAATCCAAATGGAGTGACGAGACAAGTTTGTTGTCGTCAGCAAAGCAATATATTGAATTCTTGGATTTTTCCAATGAGTTGTTGATATACAATAAAAAGAGAGTTGGAGACAATATGGATCCCTGAGTAACACCAGCGTTAGTAGTGACGGTATTCGCGAGATATCCATCGACAGCCACATGCAGGGAACGTTTTTCCAGGAAGCTGGAGACGACTACATATAAGCATGCTTTCAAGCTTCAGGAAAGTGACAACAATTAAAATGTTCATTCACAACATGAGTGGTGGGTATGCTTATATATGGACAACAGAGCAGAATCACATTAATATTTATAAGCTTTTGGAAGTGTAAGGCTCTTTTGGCCTTCCACCTCTACAGAAAAAATATGGGAATCTTCCAAAGAACGAAAGAAAGCAATCAATTCCAAAAATCAACTTCATACAAAGATCATGCAAAGAAGTAACTTTCATAAACATCGAATTATACAAAAAACACTTTCTTCTATTCAGTTTGCTTTCCAAATATTTGTTATAGAATTGAATCAGATATCATTCACAGGATTCCTACACAATATAATCAATGATAGAAGTGAAATTTCACTTACATGGAACACTGTCATCCTCAGTGGCAAACATCCGATCGCGATGTTTGGGAATGAGACACTTGCTTCATTACCTCTTCAGCATCCATCTAGGTAACATTATGTCAAGAATGAGTTAAATTGCATTCATTCTTTCTTCGAAAGATTCCCACACTTTTTGTATGAAGATGGAGAAGTAAGAATTCGAATCCTCTCTTCTCTAGGAGAAATACGATTCCAAATAAACCTATTCACATTTCATCTCATATGAAATTATTACGGTGTTTCCTTGAATCCTTCAATTGAACCAAATAATTTATGGTGAAGGAAAATGTACTCAACAGCAATTATTCCATTATTTTTTTTATATTTCTTATATACGTGTATCGATATTGGTTCTGAACGTTACATATATCACGAAATGATTGTTACTCAATACAAGAAATATTTTGCATCAAGATATCGAAATAAATGTATAGTGGTACTATTCAAGACTATCTTCCATTCAATTTTCAATCAAAGTTACAAATATAATTCAAAATATTAAGTAAATAGTAATTCCAGCACTATAATATTTCACTGGGGGAAAACTTTTGAACATGAATAAAGATTTTACTCCTACAAAGTATATTCACGTTTTTCCCTCAATTCAAAAGTTGTGATTTTGAAAATTGAAAATATTCATTTAGATTTCGTTAAGTTTTCGATAATTTTCACAAAATCTGAATTATATATTGTTGAAATTTATTGAAATTTTCTTCAACATTTTTAATTTGTTTTTTATACGAAATTCCTTTGTTTCCATACCAGAAAATGATTTAAAATCGACGAAATCATGTCTCATTCCTTCCTTCAATTGAAGTCAGTGAAAAAGTTAAATTTGATGCTTATTTGGGAATCATATGTTAAAATGTAAGAACTCGTTAGTCCTTAACTCTCACAAGACAGCTGGTTAACAGAAAAAACAGATTTCAACAGTTTTGCTCGAGTTTTAATCAAATGTGTTACGTTTGATAGAGACAATTTCAAACTTAGGATGCAAACGAACTCTAATGAAAAACGTTTGCCACTCCAGAAGAAAAACCAAACGAGTTTCGAAAGACAGTACTTTTATTATGATGTGGTAATACTATTTTCATTAGAGTTGTTTCACGCCTGAGGGTCCAATTCTACCAATCAAGCAAAATTTCTATTGATTCGTAAGGCGAATTATCCACGTATCTTACTTTAATATCTTTCTCAATTTCAGTTCATCGTATTCGCTGCCTTCGTAGCAGTCACCCGTGCAGGAATCCTTCCAGCAATCTCCGCCCCATTGTCTTATGCCGCCCCCGCATACTCTGCAGCCCCCGCTGTATCTTATTCCAGCATCTCAGCTCCCGTGGCCACCTATGCTGCTGCTGCACCTGCATACGCTAAACTAGCTGCCCCGGCCTTCGCATACTCTGCTCCTTTGAGCTATGCTGCCCCAGCCGTGGCTAAAGTAGCATACTCTGCCGCACCAGCTGTGTCATACTCCAGCGTGTCCACTCCCATCAGATATGCCGCCCCAGCAATCGCTAAAATAGCAGCTCCAGTTTCCTACGCCGCCCCAGCCCTTTCTTACGCTGCCCCAGCATACAAAGTGGCTGCCCCAGTATCCTACGCAGCTCCAGCTCTCTCCTACGCCGCTCCAGCTCTTAGAGTAGCTGCCCCAGTATCCTACGCCGCACCAACTCTCTCCTACGCCGCTCCAGCTCTCAAAGTAGCTGCTCCAGTTGCTTATGCTGCTCCAGTTGCCAAAGCAGTCATTGCTGAACCATCTGCTCCAGCAAACTACGACTTTGGATATGGAGTAAACGACCCCCACACCGGAGACAGCAAAAGCCAACAGGAATCTCGTCGTGGTGATGTTGTCCAAGGAAGCTACTCCCTCATCGAATCAGACGGCACCAAACGTACCGTTGAATACACTGCTGACCCACACAACGGCTTCAACGCTGTTGTACACAAGGAACCAGCTGCAGTTGCTGTCAAAACCGTAGCTCCAGTTGTTGCCAAAGTAGCTGCTCCTCTTTCCTATGCCGCTCCAGCCTACGCTGCCTCAGCTCCAGCTTACTACCACTAGAATCTCGATTCTTACGACTGAGTAGATGTTTTTGTATGTCTGTTGCCTGTGAATATGTACTATTTATTTATTAGGCGAATATTTTGCCAAAATATATTATTGAAAGTACTCTAATCTCTCTCAATGTTTGTAGAGTATCTTTTTCTGAACTGCCTTCGTTTAAAATAGAGTAATAAGCAAAAATGCTATGAATTTCATCAGTTCGGACTTTCATTGTCTAATGTGAAAGAATCAATGAAATCATGAAGAATAGCTGAGAACAACAATTATATTGAGCAAAAAGAAAACCCTGAACTAAAATCACAATAGAATAAAATACATGCAACAATTGAAAATTTTGCAATTGGGAAGAAATGGAAATTGAAAGATTTCCATCCAAGTTACTTCACGACGTTTCGATTGTTAGTATCCACAATGGTCTTCCCAGTCATCACCCGAAACGTCGTGAAGTAAATTGGCTGGAAATCTTTCAATTTCCATTTATTCTCATTTGCAATATTTTCAATTGTTGTTTTATTCTGTTGTAAATTCTGTTTTTGAATTTTGTTGATTCTTTTAGGGATTTCAAATCATTTTATATCATATCAGACAATGGAAGTCCGAACTAATGAAAGTCACCATGAAATATTGTCAACCACCTTCAAACGAACGAAAATGCTATGACTTGCATTTTTGTGTTTTGATGTTATAGATACATCCAGCCAACTAGTATAATAATATGTTATTTATTTAAGATCCAAATACAAATACAAATGAGAAGTACAAATTGAAAGTTCAAATAAATAACGAGATGCTCGGTAAGTAAGTGAATACTTGTTTCGAGATACAAATTTTCTGTGAATGGGCATATACATACATTGAAATAGTTAAACAAAAACATAGAATGAATAATATATAAAGGTATTCGACTACGAACATATTCAATCGTAAATGTAATCAAACATATACAGCTATTATCATTTGTTATTATACTTAAAATAAAATAAAATGAAAAAACAAACACTATAATACAATACAAAGACACAGTTCAAGATTATTTAGCTTTCAACCAGTTCTTTTTAATATAATATATCAATCGTTTGTATTCCTGCTTGATAAGAGTGAAACATAGATATTTAAAATGGTGTTCAATTTTCATTTTCCTTGAAATAAAAATATGAAAACAAATAGTATAATACAGTAACACAATTTTCAACTCAGCGAATATCAAACTTTCAAACAGTTCAGTTCCATACAATATATCAATAATCTATATACCTGTTTGCTAACAGTGATACATCGATATTCAAAAGGTTTTCAATTTTCATTTTCCTTAGATTATTTCAGTGACCACTATTCTAGGCATTGTCAGAATGTATTTTTTGAATTCTTTTGAATTAATTTGGGAATAGAAATATATACTTCAGGAACAGACTGTGCTTTAGGTGCAATGTATCTGTATAACCTTTGACCAAACGATTTAGCCATGTGAGTACTATATGTTGATTTTTCTGGCGAGTTTCGTAATGGTGAGTAGGTACCTGTGCCTGATTCCGCGAAATATAATATTTCAAACCAATTTTCAGATAGTACAATTGCCTTGGATCAAGGATATAACTTTCACTAAAAAGCTGGTCTGAAGGATATCTGTTGTTTTTTGATAGCATGATAGTATGATCTGAGGTAACAGATAAGACTGAATAGAATAAAACAAAACACACTTCATCGTGAGATTTTCTCTAACCCATATACCGGGTGATTCTCTAAGGTGGCTCACCCCAATAACTTTTTTATTATCAAAGATAGAAAAACGAAATTTGGGGGTTGTGTATTATAGTTCAATTAACATTTTTTGACATATTCACTTGTTTTGCCGTACTTCCGGTTTGACCAGAAATGTCTCCAACATTCGATTTTCAAATGGATCATCCTATATATTTTCACTCATTTCGATCGAGAATGACATTCTAAATCGAACAATACTTCACTTGTCAATATTTGAGGGATACAATCATTTTTATTCCAATTTTTATTTTTTGATCTAGAATGCCATGCTTCATTCTTGATCAAGTAACATGGGAAAACTACGGCTTTGGGGCTTATGACTTCACAGAATCATTTCACACTCGAAAATATAGATTTTTTCAGTTAACTTGATTTTTTCAAATTGAAAGGGGTGGCTCGTCGGTTTTTGTGAAAGATCATTTTTTTACAAATAATTTGATGCCACACACTTTCACTTTATTTTCTCTATTTTTCTGAATAATTGCAACAAATTCATAAATCAGGTAATCAAGGTTATAAATTTTCAAAATGCCCTCTTCCTCGATCACGGCAAAAGTTCAACTTTTTCAATCGTTGCACTTTTGCGAAGTGTCAAAATCATGTACTATCTTCACACGCATAACTGTGATACGACATCTGCATTTAACAGGAGAGGTAAAATAACAGTTTCCAAAATAATTGAGAAACAAAATTTTGTTGAAGTTGCAACTGCAAAAGGAGGTGCAGTGTTAAATGTGCTTGCAAAAAAGCCGGACTGTTTTGTTCTCTGGCATGTACACATTTTTAAGGCCAGTCGTGCTCTAATATTGAATCACCAACAGTGGAGAATCCGTTTGATTCCAACGAGGCAACATGCGATACATCGCTAGATGAAGAAGAACAAGATGAACAAGAACAAGAAAATCAAGGAGAAGAACATGAAGAAGAATTTGAAAGTTACGACTCGGACGATTGAATTTCACAACTTTTTTTTAACTTAAATTGATTTTATCTTTTCAATCTCTGTATCATGAATGTATCATCTTTCCCTCCAACCGATTCCCTGAAGTCTTTGAAGTCCACTAGATACAAATTAGGACAACAAGAGGATTGTTCCAAATTCTTGGGGTTCTTGTTGAATACTCTTCGTGAGCAAAACAATAGCAAAATCAATACTCCTGACCGCTCTGGATTGAATGATTCCGAACAGTCCGTCTTGTCTTGTATTTGTAAATTTTTTGCTGGAAAAATCCTCGCTTGTTTACTTTGTAGTAAATGTTCAAGAGGTAGCGAGAACGTATGTGAATTTCTGGAACTTCATCTAGCTTTTCCTGATATGACTAATAACCAGTCCGTGCAAAGCTTATTGTTAAATCCTCTGAAAATGGAATTTTTAACAGGTGATGATTGATTGTATTGCCAAACATGCGCCAAACTTACTGACTATTATAAGGAAACAAGTATATCTGAGGCACCAGTCAATATAATAATAACATTGATGATCTTCTACATTTTGTTTTATAAGAGAAAGGACATTGTTAGATCAAGATCTTCAGATGATGTGGTGCTGCAGGTTTTTCCAGGTATTCCTGCAGCTGAAAAAGCAAATGCGCCACTGGAATCAATGAAGTCGCCCCGGAGCGCCAATTAATTTTTATTGTTGTTTTTATTTTAACGTTGTTTCAATGGAATCTCTGCTAATATCCATTATTTTGAAATAGTTTCAAAGTAAACAGGATCACAACTGAAACGTGGAATAGGCTTACTGGGGAAACCACGTTCAAAAAAATGCGCTGAGTACACTACCTCATATTATACATTTTATGACGATCACAACTTTTACAACTTTTTGAATCATATCTCAAAAACGGTGGCTCGTAGAAAAAAAGTATTGATACATTTTTTGTAGATGGTTTTATGATCTATAATTTTTATTGAAAGTATTTTTATGATAAAACTCACCGTTTTGCTGAATATCGCTTTACTTTTGAACTTGAATACAATTTTTCCATACAGGGAAAAGATGGAGAACTTTCAAAATTTATTTTTGATCATATTTCAAACAATCTTGCTGATTTTCAGCTTGGTGAGAATCTAGGTAGCTTCGAATGTCTAAATTGACCGAACTATTGAAACTTCAAAACTTTCGATGTGTACCTAAATCAGATCTACCTACAATGGGCTCACCCCTTAGTTCACTTTTAGCAGACATATTTATGAATAACTTGGAGACTACTAGAGTAAATTCTGACCTGGGTAAAAAACATATTAATTTTTGGTACAGATATGTAGACGATATTCTCGCCTGTTTCAGAGGTACTACACGACAGCTGACTCAATTTATGACATTCATGAATAATCTCAATAGCAACATTCAGTTCGCACTAGAAACAGAGATAGAGGAACAAATAAATTTCTTAGACCTGACCATTACACACAATCAGAATAAATTTGAGTTCAATGTTTTCAGAAAACCTAGCTATACAGACATCACCATCCCAAACGATTCTTTCCATCCAGACAGTCATAAATTAGCAGCCTACAATTCAATGTTGCACAGAGCATTCTCACTGCCTTTGTTTGCTAACAATCTAGCTAGGAAAATTGATATAATTACACAGATAGGTCATAATATTGGTTTCAACGCAGATACTATCCAGAAGTTAGTCAGGAAACAAAGCCGGAAATTTACTTGCAGATTAATATATCCTCAGGTCAAACAACCAGAAATCAAGAAATGGGTGACGCTAACATATTTTGGAAAAAGAACAGAAAGGATCGCAGGTTTCTTCAGAAAAAACAATGTGAAAGTGGGATTCAGACCACATGCCAGGTTATCTAGTTCTCTTTTCAATGCCAAAGATAAGGTTGACAAGTTGGAGAAATCTGGAGTTTATAAGCTTAAGTGTCCGGAGTTGAATAGTGTTTATGTGGGACAATGTGGCCAAAATTTCCAAAAACGGTATTCTGAACATGAAAGGCATTCAACCAGAAGTGCCCAAATCTAAACGATACGGAAATTCTGCACCATGCAAGGAAGGGTTACGAACTCAATTATTTAGAATCCTTGGAAATTCACAACCATAAACATGGCGGGTGCAAGCTGTTAAATGATCAAATCGATTCAGTTCACTCACCGGTTTTTAAATTGGCACATCCGCATTATAAACTGTAAATTTAGGTACGCAATCAAGCCAAATACCTCTATTATTACCTACATGGGTATTTAAGGGCTGATGTAATGAAACATTACATCATTACATACATAAGTTTGAAAACGTCCGTATAGTACGAAACTGCAGTAACGTTAGTTACGAATAAAAGTGGTAAAAAACAAAAAAAGTTTCATTTCTCTTTTCTTCATT